TGCGTTGAAGCCAAAGTATACATCATCTCATCAGTGACAGTCCCACATTTGTTGATGGTTAGCTGGAAGTTACTTCTTTTCCCCTTTACCACGCGTCAGTTGCTCAATCTCGAATTTCCGACCTATGAGCTTACGAAAAAAACCTACCTCCTTTAGCTGACAACGCATAAGAGCGGTGTTCACTCCTCTGGTGGATATATTGAAGCAGTTTGCGATTGTGAGACGTTTCAGATTACCATATGAGCAGAGAGTGACAAGATCCTCGTTGGCGAGGTTCATTGTGTTACGAACTTCTAATGAGCGCAGTTGATTACAACAGCCAAGTGCGGTAAAGCCGAGTACATTTTTGCATTTGATTAAGGAGATCTCTTGTAAATTTTCGACCCGTGAAAGAATTGCATGAAGAGACGCCTCAGTTAAACCGAGTAGATCCTAAAATGGGCAAATCCTGTTTATATCTTCTGTTTTAGTACGATGTAGCTGCAAGTTATGGTATAGCTAAGGCATGTTGATTTAGAAATTTGAGTAATTTCCAGTTCGTTTACTCTAGAATTAAGAAATCATTCTAATTTACTCCCGTAACGTTTACCCCTCATCTCTGCTAGTGACTCACGTTAAAACGAATTGTCTCCAGTTTCGTCAAAAACGCTAAGCATTCGAAATTCAAATCATTGTTTGGACTGTGTCCTAGAGAAAGATGTCGCAGGTTTGGCAGTGATCCAATAGCAACAATAATGTCATCATCCAGCATAGGAACTGGTGAAGCGTGAAATTCTTCCAACTCAGTGCGATCTGCCAGGAATTTGATTAGAACTTCTGGAGGGAAGGCGTGAGCTCCACTGATTTCGATGTATCTGTAAAGTTATATATTATGAAATGAGTACTGGCCGATAAAAAAGATTGGGTATATGGTGCAAAGTGTAGTTTTTCCTTTAAGAATGGTAAATTAAATTTTTCACTTGATACAGTCGCTCATTGATGCAAACATTTATCACAGGCGGATTTTTATCGTAGTGTCGTTAAGCGAAAGGGTCATAGTGTATATTGACTTAATCCATATTTTACTACTTCATATTCTAAATGTAGCATAAACAGTCTAGTCTACAACCATTTGATTAGGTAAAAATCAGCCTGAGGTATTGCTGGGATTATGTAAGAGATTACGACTATCTATCCAAACAAATACAGTGCATAGTCAAAATTAGTCCTTACTTCAACGTTGAGGGTAAATCTGCAAGCTTAGTCAGTTGAAACATGGCAGATCGCAAATTTAACTTCCGTAACCTCTTCATGTCTTTGAAGTAGTTTTGTACCTTAAATTTCGACTCATTGAGCTTTTTGCCTGAGCCTACTTTTCGCTCACCTTTTCTGCGTATTCAATGTTTATCCAACTCGTCTCCTCCAAAGAAAATTCCTCCAGCTGGGGTGCAACTTTTTCCAATAATGGGCTCAGATCTGCGCTCAAAATTACTGCGCCAAGATCTACAACGCGGAGACGGCTACATTTGCTGTAAAAGATGTGTTTTTGT